TAAATAAATAAATAAATAAATAAATAAATAAATAAATAAATAAATAAATTCTGATTTAGGGCTGTTATTTCTAGTTGTTTCATTCGTAATTCATGTTCCATCTCCCTTTCCTTCATGGCCATTTGTCTGGTTTCAGCCCTTTCTCTGGCCTCTACCTCTGCCTGTCTGGCTTCAGCTCTTTCTCTTGCTTCTAACTTAGCCCTCATCTTTTCTTGCTCCATGGCTAATTGTCTGGCTTCAGCTTCATTTTTGAGCTGTAATTCTCTTAATTGAAACTCTTTCTCCAATTTCCATTTTTGAAATTCTTGGGGGGGTTAAAGTAGTTTCTCCTCCCATTGAGGCATCATCATCATCATCCTGAGTAGCATCCTCCTGCTCAGCTACCTCAAGAGTACTTTCCTCTTCGTGAGGTAACCCTTGTCCTTCAGGTACCTCTATTGTTAACTTTTTCCCTCTCTTAGGAGGCATGGCTTATCTGTGTTCTCAGATTCAAAACTCAAGCCTGGTTTTAAAAGGGACCTCTTTTTTTCCTCTGTGCTAGGGAGAGATACTTAGTAGCTTAGACAGCCTAGCCTAGGCTTGCTTTGCTACTTTGTTATTCCAGGCACCCTGCCTGAGCTCCTTGTGGGATACACTGTTTCTTTTGGCTTCCAGCCACACGCCTGTTTATTTTTCTGATTTCCAAGCTTCTCTGCTTGTTTCTGTTTCCCTCAGATCTGTGTTTTGACCCCGGCTTCCGCTTCTTGTCCCCTCAGCCCTCTCTTCTCAGAGCCTAGGACCCCAAAGCTAGCCCCCCTGTCTTTCACAATCTTGAGGTAAACCTCAAACTGTTGAATTTTCCTCAGAGCTTCCCCTTTCTATAGTCTTTCTATGGTCTGCCTCAGGAGTGCCTTTTAAAGCTTTTCACCAAGCTACTTTCAAGGGTCCCACTCCTGCCCTGGTAGCACCAGACTACTAGGTTCCCTAAGCTCAGGAAATTCAAGTTTTCTTTGGTTTACTGAAATCTTTTGGCTCACTGGATTATATTTCGAATCCCACCACGCTGCCAACCACTTGTGGTGATCCCCCTTGTGCCCTTTATATCTTTGGGCTCCACAAACGTAAATACGCCCTTTTCGCTGCCACCAGGTATTCTCTTAATACCAATTCAAATCCCATACACATATAGGAGCTGATCATATAACTTAGGAATCAGGAGTTTTCAATTAAACATTCTTTTATTAATGAACAAATCATCAGGAGAATCAAATATATAACTGTTTCAGGTGTTCATGTATAACAAATCATGTATTCAATCACTGGTATTTCTTATATTATGCTTATGAGTTCATTCCTGCTTGCTCAATATGTTTTACTCTTTCAACTTCCTATCTTAACCCCTTTTTAGCTATTCCTAAACCCTAGCACTCTCTCCACATCTTCTTGTCCCTACTTCTCTCTATCCCTATCTTATTCCAACTCTCTTCTAACTGTCTCTCCCAGCTGTCTAACTGCCACTCTGATTCCACCCCTCCTGCTCTATCCCTTGATTGTCATGCAGGAATGACATCATCTTTTGGGTTCTGCTACAGTGGCCAGTGAAAATTATGGCAAACGGGGCAGGGCTACAGTGCTGCCTTCTTTACTCTTGATATGTAAGACCTGAATAGGACTTCTGACTGATAGAAAACCAAATCTGAAATCTGTTTTGCAGGGTATAATCTAGTCAAGCTTGCCTGTCTCTCCTGCACTTCATCTTCTAACTGTTATAAAGTGGGGACTAGCAATGAACAACTATCTCTGTGTTTGGAGCCTGCAGTTCCCATCAGCCCTAGCCAATATACTTAAGTCGTTGAGGGACCGGGGGGGTTGCAGTCTAACCAAGAAAAGTCAGAAATTCCCTTATGGCTTTAGCCAGCTTTATAAAATTTTTACACTACTGTCATCTTATTATTTGTTAATTGACCAACATTACTGCCTGTCATTTTTATGTTTTCTCATAATGGGGAGTCCATGCAATCCTCTTGTCTGTTAGTGTAATTTCTTTCTTTTTTTAAAAAAAAGAGAACTTTCTAATTCTCCCAACACATCACCCTGAACATATCCAAACTTGTCTAATTTTGGAACTGGAGCATGATCAGGCCTGATGAGTGCTTAGAAAGGAGACCACCAATGAATACAGGATATTGCGAAGTAGGTCTAGGCAGGAAATCCTGTCTGAAACTGCAGAGAGCTACTAGCTGTCAGACTGGGCAATATTCTGTGATTGGGCTGGATGGGCCTTTGTCTGACTGGGTATAAGGCAAACATCCTATATTCCTGTGCTGAAATATCCTGTTCTTCTATTTGCTTTGCCTATTTCCTATACAATTTGAATCGCAATACACAAATAATACTAGACCAATATTGGTTTTCTTTGGCTAGTATTGGGACACATATGAGATTAAACTAATACTATTTTTAATCACTTTGTTTTCTATTGGAATATCATGAATTGTTCTTGTCCGTTTCTCTTGTGGAGAAGGGAATGTTGTTCTAAATTGTTAAGAATTATAGGATTTGACACAATTCCTTTTAAATCTCAGGAAGGTGTCCATAAGTGAATTCTTCATTCAGTATATGCTATGGAAAATGTTTCACAGTCTGATCAGAGCAATCCTCTTTCGGAAGTAAATCCCATTGATTGAAGTGTACTTAAGATTCAGCTGAAAATATGTGTCCAAATTTCATGTTATATATGTGTATGTTTATCCTTAGTTCCTTCAGAAGTTAATTTAAAAGTTCTACTTGTCATAGACTTGCATACAGTGATTGCCTTGTAAAATAGGCATTTATAAGTCTTCTATCTCCATTTTTCAGGAAAATTGAGATGGAAAAATCTTTGTACTAAGAACTGTTATGTATGGTGGTTCGTGAGAGATGGACACCAACCAGAAAAATTGTGGTTCGTGACTAACTACAAACCACCATGAACCACCCAGAAAATGAATTGGTTTGTGATTTGTGATGGTTCAGGGCCATATCTAGCACACACACACCCAAGCTGTCATCTGGCCTACCTGCTGCCACCATTCCTACCACCATCACTGAAACTGCCATCACCTTGGCTTTCCTGGGTGGCCCGGAGAGGTGATGGCAGCAGTAGAGAAGCAGCTAAAGGAGCTGGGTTGCAGCCTCTGTGTATGCACCTGCCAACTAGCTGGTTTCCAGGGAAGTCCACTGCTGATGCTTCCCTGGCAACGAGCTGGCCAGTGAGTGCATGTGCAGAGGCAGCCACCCAGCTCCTGCCAGGGAAGCCAGGCGGCTGCTTCTGAGCATGTACACCCTGCCCAGCTGGTTGCCCTACCAGGGCTGCTGCCTCTGAGGATGGCATCTGAGGATCAGGACACCCTGGGCATCAGTGGGAGCAGTGGCAGCAGCAGAAGGTACACTGAGGTAACGGGGAGGGCAACAGGAAGGAGGTGGGCAGGCCATACTGGTTTGCTGAAGCAAATGAAATGTAAAGGGGGGGGGAAGTTTGGCACTTTGTTTTGCTTTGGCAAAACAGGAATCCTGAATTGGGTCACGAAATAAACCACAAACCAGCCCGGTGGTTCTTGTGTTCTGGTTCGTGGTTCATTTTGCGCCCATCTCTAGTACATACATACACACACACACACACACACACACACATGCCCAAACACACATGCACACACTCCCACGCACAAAGAAACAAATTCCAGGTATTAACAGGCATGGTATTTCTTCAGATAGGTCTTAAGCAAATGCCTTACAAATCTGTTCAGCTATTTGTTTACATACAATGGCACTGGCATATTTTATCCTTATAACGACAGTACTGTTTTCTTGTTACTGCTCCTGCAATAGTGAATGGAGAAAACAAGATTGTTCTAAGTACAAACTATGTTATAATTGCTGGAAATCATTCTTATAAATCTGTTTCTCTTTTCTCTTTTTCTTCTTCTTTTCTGCATTTGCAGAGCATCTTGGATTAGAATTAAAGGGTATGGAATGAACCATTCATTTGTTAACTAGACACCATTAAAAACTTCCCGCAATCCTTCAGATTCTATTTTTGTAGCTTTAATGAGATGACTTTTAAAAAAATCAGCTGTACTGTTATTATTGTAGCACAGTTTTGACCAACATTTTTTACATTAATTACAATATATTACTCATGAAATTTGCATATTCTCTGTAAAAGATCTGCATGTGTAGTGCTTTGCATCTACAGTAGTCTTCAGAAGCACAGCTTGCTCAAACAGCACTAGGCTGTAGCAAAGTCTAAGCATTTTTTTTCCACTTCAGTCCTCCATTCTGTCTTGAAACTGAAAAGCTGGCCAAGGTCTGTTTGGAAGGTCACCAGTAAGTGTAATGGACAAACACTTTAGTAAAGAACAGGCTGAAGTTAAGGGAATCGGGATATTGCAGCAGTTCTGCAAAGCCATCCTGGCTGTGAAACAATAAACAAGCAGCCAAAGCAACCGTTTCTACTCCCCCTGTTTAATTTCATGCTTATTTTGAAGAGATTCCTTTTAAAATATAGCACCACCAGGGGTGCCTGCAAGTCTTGGAGAAAGAGGAGACTGATGAAAAGCGTGAAGGTGAAAATGTGGCAGTGTATCACTGAACGATACCCGTGAACAACTGAACGCATGTGGTGTTATATATTTCTGGAAAAAAGCACTTTGAAAGGTTGCTGTCCCAGCTGCAGTCCTGGTCTAAAACTAATTGACTTCAGGTGTATCCAGTGGTTTTTCCAAGATGTTTTGCCAGCTGTACAAGAGCCCAAATCCTGCCCTCTTCCCCACAAGGGCTAACACTGTACCACTCAAGTATCAGTTCCTGTTTCTCTCTACCCACCCTTTTAACATTTGCTGCAACAGTCCACCTCACTCTGCTACATGGCAGGTCTGACTCTTGATGCACCTGCTTAAGTCACAACTGGGATGTTTCAGCAGCCTGCTAATCTATATGTCCCCATATTTTTTCATATATGAGGCAAAATCCTGCATTTATGTTCAGAGCCCCATGTAAATCACACAGACTTATTTGACTCTGAATGCAAATGATATTTAATTATAACATTTAATTATTGTATAAAATGAAATTACATAAAAGAGATTCGTATTCCATACCTGCCCAATACATTATTGCAAGCTATTGTAGTACACACAAGAATGGAGCCTACAAGGCTTCAGTCACAGAAGCTATGTTTTTATACTCTGGTCTGGGCCATGTAAAGCATTTGGAGGGTAGAAAACCTTTGAGCAGATACAGACCTCAGTACTAATTGGTTGACTAGCTCTCACACTGGTTGGCTATCCCTAACACTGGAAATAAATGGAAAAGTCTTTAAAAGCCAAAAATTTGTTTTCTTGATGTTGCTTTTAAGATTTGCAAGAGCTGCAGGGCATTGGAAGGATGGGTTCTCCACAAACTGACATGTCATTTTGTCTTGTTTTAGAGGTGTACATTGACTCTTATTTCATTCTTACAAGCAAGAATGGCCATTTTCAAAAATTTCCTTCTTGCTGGGGAGGATTGGAGAAGTTCCTGTGCAGTTTTGTATTTCTGCACTGCTTGCAACAAAATATCAGAAGCATTTTTGAGCAGACTCCAGCATATTGTGCAAAAATCCCCTGCATTTTGCATAAAATACTGTATAAGGTTTTTAATGCAAAATAGAAAACATAAGTTTTAATGCAAAAATGAATCTCATTTGCACAAGAACAAAAAATCCTTCTGTAGTTGCCCATTTTTTTCAGCAGTGCATTCTGATGTGATGAGATTCTTTTGTTGTTGTTGTTGATAATACAGAATGTGCAAGTATTTGTTACTTGTTTAGATGCTAACCCAAAGGAAAGCAAGTGAAGTAAGAAGTGCCTATATTTGACTGGTACAACAGTTGGTGAGAACTAGTGTGATATAGTGGGTATATTGACAGCATAGGACTTGGGATTCCTGCATTCAAATCTCTACATGGCCATGTGAACTCACAAGGGTGGGGTGGGGGTGGCACTAATTAAATCACTCCTTATATATCCCTCTACCTTGAGAACCCTTAGGGTTACCATCCATTGGATGCAACATTGAAGACATGTAACATAACACAGCAGTTGCTGCAAGTTTACTAAAATATCATCTTTCCCATCTTGCAACTAGTCTAAATTCTTGCTGAAGGTTCTTGCATATTTTCTCCTTCTCCTGTGAGGGTTGCAAAAAGAATGCAAGAATGGGTTGCAAAAACAATGTGAGAATGAGATTGTATGTAAACGGAATTTTGGATCACTCAAAACTCAAGTCATTCCATGTCTGGAAGGAAGATAGAGAAAAATGAAACAAATTTTGTTCAAACTAAAGCTAACTAGTTCAAAGTAAACTAACACCGACCTAATATTTACAAAGTGTTTGTCCATGTTTCATTTTCACAGAATTATTCAATATTTGGTAGTGATCACTCCAAACTAACTTGCAAGCATTTATTGTTGCCAGTTCCATCCCATCAGGCTAATTTTTATGATGGGAACAAAGGAATCCTTCCCACATTTAATTTTTTGATTCATAAGATTGGCACAACTCCACACCTCATTTTGGATCAATGAGAAGGCTATAATTCAGGGCTAGGCAAAGTGTGGGCCTCCCAATGTGGCTTGAATGCAGCTCCCATCAGCCAGCATAGCTGATTGTTAAGGGTTCTGGAAGTTGCTCCTTGGCATCTTCTGGAGGACCACAATTTGCCCCTCCCCTTGAAGGGAAACTATGCCTGTATTTGCATGTCAAATGTCAGCTGCAATGCTATACTGTACTTACTAATTTAAGAGTTAATCCTACTGAATCCAGTGGGGCTTACTTCTCACTAAACATGTACAGGATTATAATGTAAAATTATCAGTTCTTCAGAGGTGGCACTCTGCTGTCAACAAAAAGTATAATGTGGAGTATGGCCTTGAACTTAAGTTGAATCAAACCAGTGCTGCTGATTCAAATGCATTTTGAAATGCTGTTTGGAAAGGAGGATTTTTTTACATTCGTTCTTAGCTTACACTTGTGTTGCTTGTTTAAAAATGTTATTTGTTTTCTAGATTCACTGTTATGCAGTAAGCATCTTTTGCCATTCTGTCTCTTTACTTTCCTCATAGCTAGCTGTATGTTTCTTGTAGTGGATGACATAAATTGATAGGCGCTGGATTGCTCTTAACATGTTACCACAAAATGATAATCTGCTGCTTGTGTCAATGTAAAAAAGATCACATATCACATGAATGGAAAGTTTTACCACTCTGGTGCAAGCACTTCTTACGACCTACATTAGTTTTTTTTAGTTATTTCGAAACTATTTATGTTCTCATTTTCATTGTCCACATTCTATGTGAAGCTGCACCCTATAAATTGCCTCAGAGCCCAGTGATACATTTTGTTTTTTTGCTAAAGATTGGCGTTTCAAATTCCAAGCAATACTTTGCTGTTCCAAACTATCACTACTTAGTTATGGCTACATCATTGATTAAAATGTAATCACGATTATTTTGTTGTTGAAAATGGTCAGATACTGAAATTCATATGATCACAAGACCTTCTCATTGCAGTGGACCTTATTTTTTAGAGAACAAGGAACTTCACTTCTGAGCTTGGTCATCTTTGGCACATTGTTAAAGAATCGTATTAAATCTGGCTCTTTTTGCACAGAAGTCAGTTTCATGTGTATAGCAATCCAGCGTGTCAGTCCATCATTGCAAGTCTTGTTTGCTGTATGTTGTAGTGTAGTATTTTTAGCTGTGGAAAACAGGTTTCCAGAAATGGAGCAATTATACCAAATGTGTTACTACTACATTAATGCATTTTCTGTGCTTTTAAAAATCGAATGTTGAAGATACAGATTATAATTACACATACTAGTAGTACGAATAGAGGAATAGGATGGATAAAATTATGTGGGGCATGAGTGCTAGACTGAAAAAAATATATACAGTACAACCCTAGATTCATTTATCCACCTATGCAAAAATGAATTCTGTTTTCCATCTATGCACCCATCCACTCTCTTTTGACCAAAGCAACCCTAGGGCCTGGTTTTAGCTTTAAGCATATAGGAGACACTTCAGTCAGACATCTTATTTTGGAAGATGCACAATGAGAGCAATCTTTCACAGTATAAACCATTAGCCATTCTGAGTTCTATACTGACCTCTTAGTGTTACTTAATGCAATTTAAAGTCATGGGAATGGGCCTGCATCTCTAAATTAAACTATGCACTTGGGTTCCTATGCATGTCTGTTACTGAAAATGCTGAGATGATGTGTTCAATCGGGGGCCACATGGTTTGCACAACTGGCAGAAATGTATGCAGCGCAGAGCTACTCCATGGTTCAAGCCTTGGGACAGAGGGAGACTCCAAAAGCTTGGCTGAAAGATGCTTTTAACAGAGCATTTGTGCTTGGGCTGCCTATCTTATTGATGTCAGTGGACATTTTCACCTCTAAGGTTGAAAGTTGCTCTGCCTTAAGTGTATGTAACAAGATGAAAACTAAGTCCTGTAGCACCTTTTACAGTTGATTTGTTTCAGTGTGAATTTCAAAATTACAATCCATTTCTTCAGGCATACAGATACAATATTTAGGACATAGATTTATATATGCAGCGCACATGGTTATGGGGGATGAATGACCATGCACATCTTTCTTTGATGAAGTTTGTAATGTAAATATCAGAACAACATTGTTCAGCAAATTTATTTACATCATAAACATCATTTTTCAATTTTTTTTCTCTACAAATAGCAATCGGACATTAACATGAATGGCTGGATAGAGTATCAAAGAAAAATTCCCCCAGATGTGTGAAAACACTCCTACAGTGGAAGCTGTTAGCCACTTTTTGGAATGGAATTTGAGCTGTAAATTGTTTAAGATATTTTTCAAATCCTGGTAGTGATACATACCACTACTGATATATTCTTGTCCGCCCCATTGCACAGTATATATGTGGCTTTCTTTCATCATT